AGAATACATAGTTGAGGTTATGGATGTAGGTAAAAGTGAAATGGACATATTTTCCTGTTTCAAAAAAAGAAAAAGGATGAGGCCTCAAGCTGTCATCCGTGGAGGACACCATCTGGGCCTCCAGATACTGATCATACCCTGATGTGGCCTCAGCGCTGTCTGATTCCTCCTTCCCTTCCGGGAGACAGCTGGCGACTCTTTCGCTCTGCTTTCCCCCTTTCTCCCTCCCTGCCACTGACATGCAAACACATGGACACACACACACACACACACACAAACAACCACACCCAAACCCAGTTGCTTGTTTATTTCCCTCCCTCTCCCAGATTCCTCTCCATCTTCAACTCTGCTTCATATGGCCTTGAATAGAATTCCAGGGTTGCACAGAGGGCTGGGAGGCTAGGCGTCCGGAAAGTGGTGGGTTCTGGGAAAGCTGGCCTCCCCGATCGAAGGGGCTGGTCTGGAAGATGCCGTGAGACCATAAACATCATCACGTAGGATGGGGAGGAGATGAGTCGGCCCTTCTCGCACAGGAATAGAACAGAGAGACAGTCCTGTAGGGTGGACGTGTTAGAGCAGTACGACAATGGAACCCCAACGCTGGAGGACTTCAAGAAATGACCATTTTGTCCGATTTGCTTTGATTTGGTTGCCTGCCTTGAGCACGGGGGGGGGGTTGGACTTGATAGCCTTCGAGTCCAAACCGCCCCCCCCCTTCCCACTCCATGATTCTATGACTTTCTTTGCCCTACCCTTAGCTCCTTTCATGAAAATTGGCACCTGAACCGCGTGGGAGGTCCAGCTATTTCCGTGGCAAGCTCTTTAATGAGGAGGGGGTGCCAGTTTCTCTTGGAGGCAGAAGGTTAGATCTGGCCCATGTTTTGATCAGTGTCCCCCAAAGCTGGTGGGGTCCCCGTAGTTTGGCCACTGGAAAGGAAGACATCCGCATGGAAAAAGGAAGGGCAGAAGACGCACCACCTTGCGTAAACTTGCATGTGCTGATTGAGATATACAGATGTAAAATGAGAAATGAGTTTTGATAGAATTGTGTCCTGGGGGGACCCACTAAGGACGGGAAACCTGATCGGGTTGAAACTTGGCAAATTTAAATGCCCAAATCCAATCGTTACTCACAAGTCGCGGCGATCTGTTGTGTCAGGAAGCCGGCAACCTTCTTGCATCTTCCGTTGATGCATGGGTCTCCTCTAACAGGAGTAAAATTAGACACAGGCTTGGGGGGAAAAAATGAATTAAAGAATATTACCCCCAGTAGTAACCTTATTGAATGGTTTTCCCGCTTCCTTTGGTCTCATTCATTCATCGAAAGCCCCCCCCTTCTCGCCTTCATCTGGTTCCCATCCTTTCTGCTTCTCCCCCTCTTTGCCGTCTCCCCCCCCCCAACGTTCTTGAGGAAAACAGCCTGCTGGCCCAATTGGTGGCTTGGTGACATCCCCATCCCTCCCTTTTGGCTGCTCCTGCTGTGGTCGAGGGGTGCTATTTAAAACCTGACAGCTCCTTAATGCCGCATAAAGGTTTCATCAATCACGCTGGGAAGAGAAGAAGGGGCCGGCCGCATGTGGGTTCAGTTAGAGGCGCTGGAGAGGAGGAGGAGGAGGCAGGCGGTGGAGAAGGAGGTGGCCGGGGGACTGGAGGAAAGGTGTGAGCCTGGCAAACGCAGTAGCCGGCAACGAGGAGCCTCTAAAACAGACCCTTGGAAAGGGGCTGAGGATTCTTAATTGTCAGAATTAAGCCCAAAATCATCTGTCACCCTCCATTATTATTATTTTTTTACGACCCTTCTACCCCTAATGTGCAACAGGCTTCGGCAGAGTCCCTCCCCTGCTCCGTGGCATTTTAGGAAGAATCAGAAACCTGTTTCTGCCGATCCCTTTGCGAACGATGACCGATCCTCATCCTCATCTTAGAAAGGCAGAGCTGGAAAGGACCCTGTGGGATCGCGGAGTCCGGCTCCTGTCAGGAAGGCACAGTGACCTTTTATTGGGCAGCACCGACTGGCTAGTACCCAGGCCGTTGCCATCCGGACTCTAGAAAAGGTGTATAGGCATGACTATAGATACATCCATGTCGTTTTTCATAAGGTGGACATGTTCTCCTGCCTTTAAAGTTCTTTGTGTGTGAATGGCTAGTGGAGAACAAGCAGCAAGGGGGTTCAGAGGACTTTGAGGGACTGCCTCGTCTCCCCCTTCTCCCCCAGGGTGGCATCTCTTCCTTTTTGTAAGCCGAGGAGTGGCCAAAAACAGCTGCTTTTTGCAAATCGAGGCATAAGCTTATTTTGTTCTGTTGGAGAATTACATGCCTCGCTGGCTTCCAGCGGTCTGAATGTCCCTTGTTCGACATTTTCTTATAGAGTCAGGCGTTCAGGGTGGAACAGGGGAAGTTGAGAAGCCCACGGGCCACCCAATTCCCACCGGGGTCTTTTATTTGGAAAGTCTCATAGTTAACAAGAGCAAATTGTTCTGTGGTGCCCCCCCCCAAGAAGTCATCACCAGATCAAGGCTGGATCCATTGGAAACCAAGCAGAGAACCCACAAGGGCTGAGAGCAAGAGACAGGAAATGCTGCTATGCTTCTGGAAGCCCTTCCTGAATCTTTCTGCTTCCTTCCTTCCTTCCAGATGGAGTCCAGCATCACCATGACATGCATAGATGGGAGATGGAACCAGCAGGTGTCCTGTGAGCCCATTGACTGCGGGATCCCCGACCAGTATCATATCTATCCAGCCACCTTCAATTGCAGCGAGGGGACCACTTTTGGGAAGAGATGCTCCTTCACGTGCAAAGCTCCTGCACAGCTGAAAGGTAAGCGAGAGAACGTGGCTCAAGGTGGACACTCCGGATGGTCTCAAGAAGGTTGGATCTTGGAGCAACTGTGAGTAGGTAGGCAGACGGAGTCATTTCTCCAGCAATAGGGAACCTTTAGAGCAGAGCTTCCCAACCTTGGGTAACCCAGATGTTCTCGGACTACAACTCCCAGAAATCCTAGCCAGCGCAGCTAGTGGTGAAGGCTTCTGGGAGTTGTAGTCCATCTGGGGACCACTGGTCTAGATTAAGGGGCAGTGAAGCATGGGAGAGGATTGATAGGTGGCAGCGGTGGGATTGGACTGTTGCCTGCATCTGCTGCTTTTGAACCTGTCCAAAACATCTTGTGTTGCTGGACTACAGGGTTGCTCTGGACTTTTCCTCGTGGTTCCTCTGATTAGCAATCCAGGGAGGACCTACCATGGACTCACTGAGATCCCCCAACCAAGTCTGTTCAGGGACTGGACGGACAGACAAGTGGATAGACAGGTGGAGACTTGGATAGTAGCTAACTGGACAGAGCGATGGCTAAAGAAATACCGGAGGAATCACCTGCTCTTTGAACAAGGGAGGTCTCCCGATGGAGGTATTGAGTTGATGGGCACGGACTGTTTTCACTGCTCAAGGAGCTGTCCGTGTCATTGGCCCGGCGGAGTGGGAAGCGAGGAGGTAACGGCGAGAGCCGAGGAAGAGCTTGATGTGATCCAGAACTGCGTGTTCATGGAATGTAGCTTTGTGGACGTGGTTGGTCGTTGAGAACGTCATCTTCTGAGATGGATCCCCTCAGGCCTTGTCTCTGAGCGAAGAAAGGCGGAGGGAAAGGGAGAAAGGTGATCTGGTGCGGCCCCCGGACACTTCTGCGGCTCCCAGCTTCCGCCGGAGAGCGAGTTTTTGGACGGTAGCTGTCAAAAGCAAAATGGCAAGAAGGAGGTTCGGGATGCCAGGAATGCAGGCGGTGGTGACTCAGAAGGCTTAAGTTGCGGTGCTCCTGAAGGCAGGCAAGGATGACTCACCCCCTCATTCAATGGCTGATGTCACCCCGGCCACTGTTTCTTAATGTCACCGTTTATCACCCTGCCGTAGCCGAATATGAGATCATCGGTGCCGCTGGACTTGAGGAGGACCTGCAGAGTGACTCAGGCAGCAGAAAACAAAGCTGTGCCGGCCCAGGATTCGGAAACGGTCCAAAAATACCTCAAGAGCTCAGAGCAGGCAGGAGGGAAAGAAAGAAAGATGTAAAGGTCTCCTTGCCTCCTTGTTTCTGTCCTCTTTCCGGGGCCGGGCGAGACCTCTCGGCCTGTCGGCTTCCTTCTTTTCCTTGATCCTCACCTTTCCTTGATCCCCGAGAGGCGGAGGTTCCTTCCGAGAAAGACATTTAATGAAGGAATAAAAAGGACCGGGGGGAAAGGAGGAGGGAGAAAACCTGAGATGAAGCTAAGCCTTGCCTGCCGAGCAAAAATATGACAGTGGAATAGTTCACACTTTTAGAGGCGGTTCTCCACCGGTACAAATATCACCGGTAGGATAATGGTGTCATCGAAATAGGTCACGCAATCTTGCTTCTTGTAGAATTCTCTTTTGCTGTGCAGTCGAAGTACAGAGCCAGAGGAGAATAGCTTCAGCTTCCCCGGATGGCCCCGTCCCTTTCTCATTAATGGAGGGCTTGCAGCATCCCATAACTCACGCTGAGACATTTGTTGGAGAAAAGACAAAAAAAACTATTTAAATTGCTCACAGCTGTGGACAGATCAACAGCAAACAAGCAACCAACTCTCAGACTAGAGAGAGGAGGAAAAAGGGCGCTCAGCGGAAAGGCGGGGCTCTCTTTGAATTCAGAGGTGGGAGGGAACGATTGGTTAGTGTCGGATGGATTGACAGCCACCCCAGCCTAGAAAGGTTCCCTCCCGGCCACTCCTCCTCTAGGCAGCATGCGAGGTTGTAAAAACTTCAGAAGATTTTCCATAGAAATTATTAAGGATTTGTTCTCTCTCAAACCCCTTAGTCCTCTTGCAAGGGTGACGCCCTGTCTCCTACTGAGGCACCCGATAGGAATCGCATCTTTGTAAGGGACCCATGGATCCTTGAATTGTTCTAGGCTGATATTGGCCCTGGGGTTCAACAGCATCCTCACGTCACCTTCTGTCTTTCCCAGGAACCAACAACGTCCTGACATGTTTGGAGGATGGCTTGTGGTCCTTCCCGGAAGCCCTGTGTGAGCTGATGTGCCGGGCTCCTCCCACGATCCCCAGCGCAGACCTCCAGACGGCCCGCTGCCGGGAAGGGAAGCATAAAGTGGGCGCCCTTTGCAAGTACAAATGCTTGCCGGGGCATCACGTGGCCGGATCCTCTCGGAAGGCGAGGAAGTAAGTGGCGTTGCAGTGAAACTGTCCGCGTTCCGCTTCCTCTTGGAAACGATTGCCGCATGCAGTTACTAAGCCTTGGGCCACCCCGGTGTTCTTGGACTACAACTCCCAGAAATCCTGGCCAGCACAGCCAGTGGCGAAGGCTTCTGGAAGGATGGGAATTGGGTAAAGTTGGGAGGGAGATTTCCTGAGACCTCTGTGCCGTCCCCCATAGCCAGATGAACACTTCCCCCCCCCCCACGGACGGAGCATCCTATCCCTGTCAGGAGTCCAGGGATAGGACCCTCCGATTGTGGAGAAATGAATGGAGGGGACATGCTGAAAATGGGGCTCCTGGACCTCCCAGTTGGGGGTCCCCCTCCCCACTTTATTTGCACGACACCCATGTCATAAGTGTGAGAGAAGGAGAAAGCATGTAGATGTGTGCCCGGAGGGCTTAATGGCCGGATCACTCCGTGGCTGAGGTCTCTGGTTGCCGAGCCAGAGGTTGAGAGTTCGATCCCCACCCCAGGCCTCCTTGTCAGGGGCTGGACTGGATGACCCCAAGGGTCCCCTTCTTCCAGCTCTGCAGTTCAAAGATGGTGGTGGTGGTAAGAGCGAGGGCTTGGGTCCCCCACCTCTCCGGTGATCACTCTAATCACTTCAGGGCACTGTTTCTTGGCTAGGAAGAGCATGGCAGGTTTGTGGGCTCAGTCGCGCCAAGAAGAAAGGGTCGGGAAAAAATGGGAAAGGACCAATTTCCTAAATGGGAGAGAGCTTTCGAAAGGTCCCAAATGGCCCTGCTCCTTTCCAGGAGGATTGGGGCATTCTCTCTTCCCCTTAAAGTGACTTTTAATACATGTTGCTTTAGTTTATATTTATTATCATTTTTCCCCCTGATAAATTGTTTAATTTGTTTAAATAACCGTTTAAATTGTTTTAATTTCCGTGCTTGTTTGGATAGGATGCTAGGTTTAATTGCACCCCCGGGTTTTATTGTTCCTTGTGCCTTTAGAGGGGTCTGCATGGGCTTTAAAAAAAAAAGAAAGAAATAGGCCTTTGAGTCCTTCTTTAGAAAGGAAGGGAAGGGTGTAAATGAAATAAAAGAGCATAAATGAATGCAAATAAACGCCAGGCCCCCTTCTCAACCCACAGAGGGGTGAACTAAACCCCAAGCATCTCGACTGTTGTTTTCCCTCCCTACCGCCTCTTTTGTGTGGGGGGTAAAACTTGCATGAAAATGGTGTTTAATGGCCGACACTTATCTCAGAGCAATTTGGAAACCTGCTCCTCTCTTCAGGGGTTGGAGGGCGGTTGGATTCCCACCTCTCTCTATTCTGCATCTCTTAAGCTCCCCGCATTCACAAGCCGGCTACTGTGCTCTATGTGGGCCTCCTAGTTCGGACAAGCCCTCTTTGAAATTCAGCCTGGGGAGTCCTCTTTGAACCTTGGTGGGAAAAAAGAAAGAAAGAAAGAAAGTTGAGATCCTCCCTTTTTTTTTTTTAATGACTTGGTGAAAACACACAGGCCGAGAGAGACACCGCCACATAAAAGAGAGCCATCCGCCACAAACCAAGCTGGAAAGCTAGGATGAAGTTCACACCGTGCGTGTCTGCGTGTTTCTGCCTTCACAAATAATAGTTGTTTCCACCAAAACCACATAACATAAAAATCGACAACCACGTGTCCGCGGAGCGGGTGCCTCTTTCAAAGGCCGCTTGGAAAAACCTTGCTGGCACACCTTGAACAAATAACCCCCTCCCTTATTTTAATTTAATTTAAATTTTTTTTTTTGCATGTACGCAAGGAGGGTGTTTAAGATTCAGTGCACCAAAGACGGCATCTGGCAGGAAGGCGCTTGCGTCCCGGTTACCTGTGAACCCCCGCCTTCCAAGTTCCATGGACTGTATCAGTGCACGAACGGCTTCCAGTTCAACAGTGAGTGCAGGATCAAGTGCCGAGAGGAGAGCCAGCCGGTGAGTCCTTGTGACAGGAAGGGAGTCAATGCCAATGGAGAGCATGTGCAAAGTCCTAGCATGGAGAAGGTCACCTCTTGGCTTCTGCTTGTGGGCTTGGAAAAGAAACCCCTGGGAAAAGCCACAGCTGATCCCCAGTAGACCATACCTCTTCAGTATTTTTGTTGATGACCACATAGGATCATAGAATTGCAGAACTGTGACCTTGTAGGGGGCCTCCAAGGCCATTGAATCCAATCTAAGGAGATCTCTCAGCTGGTTGACCAAACTTGGATGAGGGAGTGCCGGGAATGCTTATCAAATCTGCTGATGACACAAAACTGGGTGGAATAGCAAATACAGTGGTGCCTCCCTTAGCGACGTTAGCGGAATAGCAAATACATTGGTGCCTCGCTTAGCGACGTTAATCCGTGCAGCAAAAATTGATGCTAAGCGATTTCGTCGCTAAGCGATTTTAAAAAACCCATAGAAACACATTGAAAAGCCCTTCCTATGGGCTCCAAAACTCACCTTAAGCAGAAATCCTCCATTGCGATGGCCATTTTCGGTACCTCTAAAGCGAGGCAAAAAAGTGGACGGCCATTTTGGAACTGCCGATCAGTTGGCTGAAAATGGGGGCTTTGCGATGATCGCTTCCCCACGATCATCGCAAAGCGAATTTTCCCCATAAGGGCCATTGCAAAGCTATCGCTTTTGCGATTGCAAAAACAGTGTCGCAAAACAATTTCTTCGCTATGCGGAGGAATCGCTATGTGAGGCACCACTGTACCTTGGAAGACAGGAACAAAATTGAAAAAGAGCGATTTCTTCGCTATGCGGAGCGATCGCTATGCGAGGCACCACTGTGCCTTGGAAGACAGGAACAAAATTGAAAAAATATCTCGATAGGCTTGAGTACTGGGTGGCAAAAATCAGAATGAAATTTAACAGGGATAAGTATGGTTCCTAGGGAGATTTAAAAAAATCAAATGCACAGTTACAAGATGAGGTTCCTAGGGAGATTTAAAAAAAAATCAAATGCACAGTTACAAGATGAGGGGTTTTGGAATCGTAGAGCCAACGTTGAACAGCGTGATGTGGCTGCAAAAAAAGGCATAGAGCCAACGTTGAACAGTGTGATGCGGCTGCAAAAAAAGGCAAATGCTGTATGAACAGAAATATAGTCTCCAAATTCCATGAGGTATTAATTCCCTTCTGTTCAGCACTGGTTAGGCCTCATCTTGAGTATTGTGTTCAGTTTTGGACACCCCACTTCAAGAAGGAGGATGACAAATTGGAACTAGTTCAGAGGAGGGCGTTAAGGAGGATCAGGGGGCTGGAAACCAAGCCCTTGGAGGAAAGGCTGAAATAATTGGGCACGTTTAGCATTGAGAATAGAAGACTGAAGGAAGAGAGGACAGCACTTTTCAGAGACTTGAAAGGGTTGAGAATAGAAGACTGAAGGAAGGGAGGACAGCACTTTTCAGAGACTTGAAAGGTAGTCCCACAGAGGAGGGGTAAGATCTCTTCTCCATCATCCGAGGACACATTTCAATGGGCTCAAGGAAGCCAGATTTCGGTTGAATATCAGGAATGACCTCTTATAACTGTTAGAGCAGTATGACAATGGAACCCATTACTTTGGAAGGTGGCGAGGTCTCCCAACGCTGGAGGCCTTCAAGAGAAAATTGGGCCACCATCGGTCAGATCTCCTTTGACTTGGATTCCTGCATTGGAGCAGATGGTTGGACTCAATGGCCTTAAATGGCTTCTTCCGACTCCATGAGTCTGATTCTGTACCAAGTGAGGTGCTTGGCTGCCTCCTAGACAATACTGAGTGAGGTCCAAGTCAATACAGAGTGGGATGTGGGACTGCTTTGAGTCAGTGCTGAGTGAGAGCCAAGAACTGCATGGCAGGGCCCCCCAAAAATATATGGCTGCTTGTGGCAAATAATGAAATTCACAGTCAGGGTACAAAACCTAGCCAGGCTGGTAGACGCAACCTTCTTCAGGGCTGGCAAGGCGAGAGCATCCTCAGAAGCAGAGGCGGTTGCCAACTCTGCCTTTCCAACATCTGGCGGCTACCTCTCTAGTTTGCCATCTGACAAACCTCACTCCGCCTACCGACAGGGGCCGGTCCTCATCGGATCGGCTACGGTCTCACAGAACGTTAAGACCAGAATATTATTGAAACTTTTTTTTTTAAAGTTACTTTTGCAGACTGTAATTCCCAGCTTTCCCCTGCAGCCATGCGGCTTGAGAGGGCGTAGGATGAAAACCTCTCCAAAATCTAACAATACCCGAGATCCGTCTGCTGATTTTTCCCTGCCTCTGTCTCCCTCAGTTTGTGTGAAGCGAAGGGATGATGTGTTTTATTCCCCCCCACCACCAGCCACTTGGGATCTCGCAGGCAAAGGACGTAAATCTGTCACAGCTTGGTCCCCCTGCGGTCACTCTCTGACTCTCCTGCACTTTTACGATCCCCATCTCTCGTGCTTTGATGGCCGTTGCTGGACCTGGACCTTTTCTTTTCGGCCACCTGACTCCCCATCGGTCTCGGCTCCCCGTTGGACTCTGCATTCCATGGGGAAGTCTCCCCTTGACGTCATTGGGGTCCCCGGGAGGAGGTGGCGCCTGACCAAAGGCGCTTCACACTTCGGGTTGGAAAGCAAACCTCTACCACACACCCTGACAAGGGGGTGGGGAGGAATCTCCCTACCTGGGAAACCCATCAAGGCGGGAGAGCTGCCCGGTCGGAAAATTAAATACAAAACAAATCCTGAACCACCTTCCCCGATTTTACAGGAGTTTCTACTCCTTTTATTGGGGGGGGGGAGGCTGGAGGCCAAATGAAAGAGCCAGTCTTCAGCGATAGTACGGCCGGAGGTTTCCGCGAGGGTTTTCATAAACAGAGGTGATTTTTTCCACCCAGACAGATAAAGTCAGAGTGTGTTTCGGCTCTTTATTTGAGACATGAGCAGCCGGGGGGGGGGGGGGGGCGGACTGGGGACCCGAGGTGTGTTTGGCTTTTTTAAAAAGCCTGTTCTTGTAATGGAGGAAACAGCCGCTTGCCTGTGATGCGGTCCTTCCCCCCCCCCATCCCCTCCAGTATTTATATTATGCAGTAGTTAACTTTATATGATATATTCTTTGGCCTGCCTCCAGTCCTTGAGTCTCACCGGAGCCTAGTTTTCCTTTGGCGCAAGGTGAAGATTAAACCATTAGAGGCCTTAATCGTTCTCCCCCTTTTTTTTTGGCAGAAGGGGTGCGTTTCAGCCCCACAGACTCCGGTCTGGACTTTGCAAGAGGCAGCCTGTCAATATAATCAAGGGAGTTCTGATGGTTTTGTCCGGGAGAATTTGTTTCAGCCTCTTGGACTGACCTTTCCTTGGAACGTTCTTCCTTAATGTTCGGATACAAGCCCGCAGTCGCTGTCCATGTTGATTCATCGTTTTAAGTCCATATTTTAAAAGCATGCATTCAGCGTCAATTAATAAGGGGTGACGGATTTCCAAAGGGAAATTCTAAGCAGATGATCGGCTGACAAGCCAGAGAGGGGTGAGGTTCCTCTTTTTGGGTGACAGCTCCCGGCCAATTGCTCCCAGGCCCCGGGCTCAATGTTCTAAGAGGTAGAGGTCGGAAAATGGAACTTCTGCTCCGTGCAAACGTAACCAGATCCCCCGGGATCGCAGGTCCTTGGGCCACGATCCCATACCTGTGTGAGAAATCTATCAGCCAGCCTTGCTTATGAACATGCCTACTCGTGAGCAAGGTCTTCCAAGCCCAGAAGGATCTCATGGGAGGTTGCGCTCCGGTCTCTGTTCATCTAGGCCAGTGGCTCCCAAACTTGGTTCCCAGATGGTCCTGGACTACAACTCCCAGAAGCCTTTGCCACAAGCTGCGCTAGCCAGGATTTCTGGGAGTTGTAGTCCAAGGACGGCTGGGGGACCCTAGGCTTACGACCCATTGAACCTAGAGTGGCTTGCTTGTAAGTGTGCCCTTGGATTGGATTGCGGAAGCAGAGAGAAGGTGTTCCATCTGCTGATTGATTGATTGATTGATTGATTGATTGATTGATTGATTGACTGACTGACTGACTGACTGACTGACTGCCTTCCTTCCTTTCTCTCGATAAGGGGATTCAAGGCTGCTCACGATGTTGAACAGGTAGAATCAAGAACCCAAGAAACTATACATTAAAAAGCAATAGTAATTAAAATAGAATGGATGACGAGAAACATTTAAAACTTAAAAAAAAAATCCTCAACTCATTAAACGGCATTTGGGGACTCTCGGTTACGAGGGTCAAAAGCCTACTGGGAGAGGTAGGTCTTCAGCTGCCCTGCTTTTCAGAATACGAAGATTGGGGGCGTCTTCACCCTGCCGCCTCGTTCCTTATGCTTATCCTTTTTTTTTTTTTTGGCTCCTCTTGTTTTTTTCCAGGGTCGTGGGAACAACGTGATCCACTGCCGGAAGGATGGCACCTGGAGCGGATCCTTCCACCTCTGCCCGGGGATGCAAGGCCAGTGCACCCTCCCCACGCAGCTGAGCAGCGGCCTCAAACTGCAGTGCTTGGAGGGATACAGCATAGGTACGGAGAACTGAGCCCCGGGCGCCTAATGCTTAAAAGCTACTTTTTCCTGGGTTGCAAAAGGAAGGAGGAGAGAGCACGTGGCTCTCAAACTCGTCTCCTTTCTTGGCCTCGTTTGCCTGAGTTGAAACATGACAAAAGACCAAGCAGCTCATGAATCTGGTTTGGATGGAAAGCTGGGCTTTTGATGGCAGGCAGCTCGTTAATGAGAGGTCTCCTGCTGTCCTTGACGATGGCCGTTGAGAAGGTTCAAACAGGGCAGGTAGCTCTCAGGTTTCGTTTGCATGCATTGAGATCTTGGGAGTTACGTTATTCTTATGTGCTGACAAGTCGCCCTTGGCTTATGCGTTCAATCTCCAGAATGTCCTGCCCTGCTCTTGGAAACTCAAGCCTGTCGCTTCCTTTAGGGAAGTCACCCATCTTGTACAGTGGCGCCTCGCTAGACAGTTTCAAACAGGGCAGGTAGCTCTCAGGTTTCGTTTGCATGCATTGAGATCTTGGGAGTTACGTTATTCTTATGTGCTGACAAGTCGCCCTTGGCTTATGCGTTCAATCTCCAGAATGTCCTGCCCTGCTCTTGGAAACTCAAGCCTGTCGCTTCCTTTAGGGAAGTCACCCATCTTGTACAGTGGCGCCTCGCTAGACAGTTAACTCGCATGGCCACCCATCTTGTACAGTGGCGCCTTGCTAGACAGTTACCCTGCATGACAGTTGTTTTGTTAGACATTGGCTTTTTGCGATTGCTACAGCGATTCGCAAAACAGTGATTCTGATGGGGGAATTTCGCTGGACAATGTTTTGTCCCTGCTTCACAAACCGATTTTCGCTAGATAGCGATTTTGACAGCTCCCTCCGCGCTCGCAATACAGGTGTTTTCGGGACCTAAGCTTCGCAAGACAGTGATTTAAACAGCTGATCGGCAGTTCGCAAAGTGGCTTTCCTATGGCCGATCTTCGCTAGACAACGATTCTTCCCCATTGGAACACATTAAACAGGTTTCAGTGCATTCCAATAGGGAAATGCTTTTCGCTAGACAATGATTTTGCTAAACAGCAATTTCAATGGAACTGATTATCATTGTCTAGCGAGGCACCACTGAATTGGGTCTTCCTCCCTTCCTGCTGCCCTCAGATCAAGAATGGCAAGTAATGGAGTTACCTGAGAATTGGGTCTTCCTCCCTTCCTGCTGCCCTCAAGTCAAGAATGGCAAGTAATGGAGTTACCTGAGAGACACTGCTCTTGTCTGATTTCAAGAGCTATGTAGGATTTGTCCTTGTCTGGGAGCTCTCCAGGGAAGGCTGTGGATCTCCAGCTAAGAGGAGGAAAGTAAGTAGAAGTAAGGAGCATCACCACAATCCCCCCCCCCCAACGCTTCCTCCCTTCCTGCTGCCCTCAAGTCAAGAATGGCAAGTAATGGAGTTACCTGAGAGACACTGCTCTTGTCTGATTTCAAGAGCTATGTAGGATTTGTCCTTGTCTGGGAGCTCTCCAGGGAAGGCTGTGGATCTCCAGCTAAGAGGAGGAAAGTAAGTAGAAGTAAGGAGCATCACCACAATCCCCCCCCCCCAACGCTTCAGCCAGGAGCGGCATTCCTAGCATAGCAGCATGGAAGACTGAGAGGGCTTCTCTCATTGTGGTTTTGCACAGTTTTTTTTTTAAGTCTCTAGCGCATTTCTCCTTTGTGAAACTTAACTTCACACCCCGAGCCAGCACAGAAGAGCAGGCTGATGGCTCTGAAGGAGACAACCAGCAGAGACTATTTGGGGGGGGGGGATATTCCCTCCTAGCCTCGTCTTGCACAAGGGGGGGGGGAGAAATATGGACCACTTTCTTGTTAAGCGCATGAGGATGAACAAAGCCACAAGTTGACTTTGCTGCCTGCTTGGCTTAAAGCTGGTCGCATCCGAGCGCCTACCGCTCCGGGAGAGCTGGACCCTGGCAGCGAACACCTCCTCCAAGAGAAAGCCTTGCGCCTTGATACTGGCCATTTCTTCCCATGGGCTCCTTAGGGCGTTGGTTTTGAGTCTGGTTTCTCTCTCTTTCTCTCTTGGTGCTGTTTTTTGGGGGCCCTCTCCTTTTGCGTTTGCTAGTTTTTGAAAGAAGTCTTAGAAGGTTTTGATCTCCATGGCCCTTTGCCGCTGTTTTGGGTGGAAGATTGCCAGGTCGGCTGAAAGACCGACCTACCTACATTTGTGTGTGTGTGTGTGTGTGTGTGTGTACACATCCTCCTGCATCCCTGGCTTCCCTTGTTATGCCCTTCTGAAGGCCGCCAGCAGATTCTCCCCTTCTGGGCTCTTACAAAGCAGCCGGAGTTATTAAGAACGTGACCTGGATGAGCTCACGGGCTTGGTAACGAAGCCAATTACCGGAGGATCGTGTGTCAAAACAATCCAGGCTGCCTCCTCTCCTCAAAGTGTCAGCGGTGTCAACGGCAGGGTCAGCCCCTCTCCTGTCTCCTTGTGGCCCTGCCTTAACCCTCCCGACAGACCCTCCTGGCAACCCACTTTGCTGTCATTAGCTGGGGATGTTCCTCATCCTTTTATTATTTTGGAGAGAAAGATTTCTGGTTCATGAAGGTGTGTGCCAAACCCAACTAGTGATTGTGTGATATTTGTCTTATTTATGGGCCACCTTTTTCCCAACAAGGATTTAAAAACAAAGACAGCGCAGAATTTAAAAACACAGTAAGATTTACATTTTAAAAGACCCATTAAACGGTAATAGTGATTAAACTACATTAAATAATAAAAAAGAGCCACAAATGTTAAGAACTATCCTAACGAATAGGTGGCATTCAGTCCTGATGGTTCAAAGCCCACCTGAAAAGGTGGGTCTTCAGCTGTTGGTGGAAGGATAACAAGGAAGGGGCCAGGCTGATCTCCCGAGGGAAGGCATCCCATAGCCTGGGAGCTGCCACCGAGAAGGCTCTGTCTCTCGTGTCCCCATCAGCCGTGCCTGCAACGGCAGTCCGAAGCTTTAAAGAAACTTGTTTCTCTTGAAAAATATAAGACACCATATACCGTATTTTTCGCACCATAAGACGCACTTTCCCCCCCCACAAAACATGGGGGTGGAAAGTCTGTGCGTCTTATGGAGCGAAGAAAACAGATTATATTTTCCTGTTTTCTTCTCCTAAAAAATTGGTGCGTCTTATGGAAAGGTGCGTCTTATGGAGCGAAAAATACGGTACCTTGACTTGGTGGGCTGGATAGGTTTGCTTGATCGGGCCGGGGTGACGTTTGGCAGCTGAATGTCTTGGGAGAACCGTAGAACGGCAGAGCTGGAAGGGACCCTAGAGGCCATCAAGTCCAGCCCTTATCAAGGAAGCAGAGGGGGATGGGATCCAACACCCAACCTCTGGTTCTACAGCCAGGGACCTCAACCACTGAGTTCTCCAGCAGTCCATTCATGGCCTTACAGTGCGAGTGACAGAATCATAGAATCAGGAAGTTGGAAGGGGCCTACAAGGCCATCGAGTCCAACCCTCTGCTCAAGGCAGGAAGACAAATCAAAGGATATCTGTCAGGTGGCTGTCTAAGTTTCTCTTGAAGGCCTCCAGTGTTGGAACCCTCACCATCCCTCCAGGTCATGGGTTCCGTTGTCGTACTCCTCTAACAGTTAGGACGTTTTCCCCCCGATATTCAACCACAATCTGGCATCCTGTAACTTGAGCCTTCCTGGTAAACTTTCCTCCTGCCTCCCCTTGCCTTTCCCACTCTTATTTCCAACCCTGATTGCAGAGTGTGGGGCTCCCTGATGCTCCTCCGTCTCATGCCCCCCGGTCCTTGGACACATCGATTTGCTAGAGGGAGGAAGCCGTTGCGGCATCAACCTGAGGTCTCAAGAGTTGCATCTTGAGGAATCCTTGGTAGATTATCACTCAGCGCTCTTGATTGTCTTAATAAGAGAGAGAGAGTAGAGGTTCCTGGAGGATACATCCATGGGGTGGAATAAATTAAGGCCTTGTCTGTAAACTACATGCATCTGTTTTGTCTCATACGTGAATCTGGCCTTTCATAAAGAGTAGAGTAGAACAGAATAGAATAAAGGTAGAGTAGAATAGCATAGAGTTGAATACAGTTGAATAGAGTTGAATAGAGTTGAATAGAATAGAATAGAACAGAATAGAATAGAATAGAATAGAATAGAATAGAATAGAATAGATGGAAAGAATGCTGGTAAAATGTAGATCCTTAAAGATGAAGATGAGGGAATTAAAAAAAAAATTCCTCACCCTGTGCAAGGACATGTGTTTTGAGGCACTTTCAACAAGATGAGAGAATAGGAAGGATTGTTCCCCTCCACAAAGTATACACAATTGCACAGCACAGCACTTTTAACACACATAGCCCTGTTGGCACAAAATGAGAAAAAAAACCCGACTGTTTTGTCGCATGGGCGTATAGATGCCTCGGAGGAAACATTTGTGGCCCTCAAGCCTTCCTCGGTGCATCGTCTGTGTTGGCATACACTTGCTCTGTGGAGAGACCGTTGACACAACTGGCCTGCAGCCCTGGGGCACCCTCCTCTTCTTCATCGCCGTCGGCAGCTTTGGGACCCGTCTTCCTTGTGAATGTGGCTGATAGATGCTGGACTTGATCCTTTCATGAAAGATTCAGGCGTTGAGTGGGTAGGGACTTGGACGATGTTGGCCCCAGTTTCTAGAATCATTCCAAAGTTGGGTGGGAGACTAATTAGCCATTCCCCTTCTTTCTTTTCCCCTTTAAAGGTGCTCAGTGCAACATCCTCTGCCCGGACCATCACAATGAGCCCATCCTGTTGCGACCCAACGAGACTTTAGAAGACGTAAAACACTGGATGAATCCTCCGAGAGTAAAGGTAAAGGTCTAGTCAAAGCAAGGGTGTGTGTGTGTCTAGAGGGAGAAGACTATTTCTCAACAGGAGCCCCTGTTGACGCCTTTGCTTTCTCATAAATTCAGAGGATTGATGGGTTGATGGGTTAGCACAGATGCCCCGTTCCGCGTCATTCAAGTTGAGATTTATTGGGTAGTATTGAAAAGGCATAGGAGGCCATGCCATGCAAGATACTGCAGATCGCATCTAACTTTCATTCAAATTACAGTGGTGCCTCGCTTAACGAGCGCACCGTATAACGATTAAATCGCATAGCGATCCGTTTTTTCGGATCGCTAATGCGATCGCACAACGTTTTTCCCATAGGAAAAAATTCGATAGGAGGTCATGCCATGCAAGATACTGCAGATCGCATCTAACTTTCATTCAAATTACTTGCTGAATAAATGAATCTGTGCTTCTGTAAATCGCATTGTTCCCATGGGTCTACTTTGTTGAGGTCTACTGATTGAAATCAGTGGCCTTTAAGGAAGCAGTCATTAAGTACCCCCCCAATTTGTTTTGATAGATATCTGGCTGCGGAGCCAGATGTTGGGAATTTGGTCCCCCCCCCGGGCCATCCAGAAGAAGAGTCAGCCTGGGTGGCCTTGGGCAAGCTGCACAATCTCAGGGCGCCCCTAGTGGAAGGGAAGGGTAAAGCACCTCTGAGATTTCTCTTATCTAGAAAACTCTGAAAAGTCAGACTTGACTCGACGGCCCCATGATTATTCATTTTGATGGATCTACTCTATTTGGAACTGGAAAGAGTTTCAGCCTTACCTTTGTGATTACTCAGGATAGCTGGTCTATAGAGCTAGTAACCCAGATAGAAATATTTTCATTGCACTCTTATTCTGCACAAAAATATATATATTCGTGTTGCATGCTCTGGAACCCAGGATGAAACCCAAAATCTGTATATCAGCAATGTTGTTTTTTCTGGAGGGACAATAAAGACAAATCCATGTTTACAACATCAACTGTAAAATAGCAACCAAAGCTTTTTTTTTTTTTGCAGCGGGGAATTTTTTTATATATATACCTTACAAGAAATGCATGCAAAGGCATAGGCATCTTGAGACACTGTGCACAAAATAGGCTTGCGTTTCCACAAAAGAAGCAAATACAACATTAAGACCCGACCACCGGTAAGGGAACACCAGGGTGGAAAACAGAATGGTGGTCGGATGCCGAGAAAGGCTTCAAGAAAGAGGTGGATTTTGACATCTCTGTTGAACCACGCAGGCCGCAAGAAGCGAAGGAAGGGCGGCGGCTTTCTGCCAGGATCTTGGTTCCCAACCTTGGGTTCCCCAGATGTTCTTGGACTGCAACTCCCAGAAATCCTGGCCAGCAGAGGTGGTGGTGTAGGCTTTTGGGAGT